GAAAAAGATACCGTCAAAGTGAGCTGTCCGGCAAGAATAAAAACTGCTATAAAGCTGTTTATCAGTGCAAATGTTCTCCTTCTGGCAGTTGGGCTTGATATTGTAGTAGCAACTATAGTTACTTTCTGGAAATCAAGGAGAAAAGGTTGGGTGAGAAAATGGAGGATCCTTTGTGTTCTACTCCCTCCGTCCGAAAATACTTGTCATCAAAATGGATAAAAAGGGATGTATCTAGAACTAAAATACATCTAGATACATCCCCTTTTATTCATTTTGATGACAAGTATTTCCGGACGGAGGGAGTACAATTTATTTAAGGAAGCAACATGCTCCCGGGATTGCACAACTTATCATCAATGTCATACACGAAAGGAGAACAATCATACCTGGAAGTAAAAGAAGGATGAGACAACTGCACTCAGCCATAGAAACAGAGATATGTATATCAGGTAAGACGAGCGCATGATCAGCCAGAAACCTTCAAACATCACAAAAATCCCAGGCTTTGTCTTTTGAGATTGGGAAGGTGTTCTAGGTGAAGTGACCAGCGAAGACATTTCATCACCAAGCTCGGTATTTTGACTTGGTTCTGCTCTGCAGTTTGTAATAAATTGGAATGTCTTAAATGCTCGCTTGTGAACAAAAGGAAGCACCAACAAGTCGAATAAAATCATCAGTAACACCTAAAAAATAATGTAAAAGCCCACCATTTTAACTCCTATTTTTTATCATAACTTTTTGAAACTAATAAAATCATTCCAAGTTAGTCATAAAGTGGACTATTCAGATTTCAGAGACTGTATTTGTGGCTCAAAATTCGCTAAGGTTAATCAAGAAAGAAATTTTGTACATAAAACATGCTGGTTACTCATGTCAAAATTAACAGGAAAATAAGTCAAGAACTTGTAACTCATGCCCAGAAGGATTACATACCCTGTTGATGGCAATTCTGTTGAACCATGATTAGCATCAATGCAAATTCCTTTAGATGACAGTGCAGCAAGTTCCATCAAGAGGGAGGAAAATAGGAGCAGAACTGAGGAAATTTTAGTAAATATGACATTGCATCCATGAAAAATCAGACAGGAGCTCATTATGTTATTCAGAGGAACGTCCTAGATACATACAGGGTCCCATCCATGCCATGCTTGCAGCAAACAAAGAACCAAAAAGTTGCCCTAGCGTAGCACCAGCCCCGATAAAACCAAACAATCTTGAACCTGACTGAATCAAAAGAGAAATAAGGATTTGAAAAGAACATGTGAAATGTCTAAGGGGTAACCGATATTTTCTGGTGCGGTTGTCAAATGATACCTCACTGTCCATGACATCAATTACCCTTGCCCAAGTGGATGATATTGTAATGAGATTAAGCAAAGCAACCTTCAGATGAAGAGAGTAATTCAAATGGACGATAACTTAAATCTCAAAAACATGGACAGGATCATGTAACAGGAAATGGCTTACCCAGAGAAAGAAGCTTATTCTCACAACTATGTATAACCAGCTGTGGTTTCCCCAGCCAGCAGGTTTATTTGAACCATCTTCACTTGACTTGATCATAATATCGACAAAAAGAAACAAAAATAAGTTTGGCCCTGCCTTCTTCGATTAGGAAATTTAGAAAGCGAGCAAAGTGGCTGGAGTGCAAGATGGCAGATGGATTCAAAAATATTTTTTCCGGTGTAATATCAGCATGGGATACTTGCAAACTCCAGGGAAACTAAACATGCATACAGAAAAAGAGAAAATAATCCACCATGTTATCAGTGTGTGTTACCTGGGCGGTAGATGGGGAGCCCGGCTTCGAGGCAAACCAAAGCACAAAAAATACAAGAACGGATATGCTGAAGAACCTGTGTATCAAAACCAAAGCCTGAAATTGAAGGTACAGGTGATAGGAATTAGCTTGTGTCGGTGAAGGAAAAATAATTGCTAGTCCCGCTGTTCCAAAATACTCCCTAAACGCTCTTATATTATGGGACGGAGGGAGTAAGTCTTATTTGAACTAAAACCATGACACTTATTTTGGAACGGAGGGAGTACTGGAAAATTTCGACTTCATAAAATCATCGCCAATTACCTGAATAAAAACAGGGGCGCGTCAAAGGAAAATAACAGAAGCTTATATTTAAGATTGACTTGCAGCCCTAGACATAAACCACATGAAATAGCAGATCATTGCAAAAACATACATTTTATTTCTGCTAAAGTAAATAGGTTCTGGCGAAGGTGTGTGTGTGTGTTTTAAACTAAGTCCAACTAGGCGTTTGGTTTATAATTCTTGTCTTGGTGGTGTGGTGTTTTTTAAAAAAAAAACTGGTGGTGTGGTGTTTAGGGAAGTACAGTCTTTGTTCTGTTGGATCCTTGCATTATTTGCATTGCTTTTGTCTGCTGTGGTTGAATTGTTCCCGTTTAAACACAAGCAAACAGAAACGACCCAAGTGAGGAAGGCACGGACACTGGACTTGGGGACGGACGGGAGCGAGAAGGCGAGGGAGGCGACGGGGGCCGCGAGGACGGTGAGCACGAGCGAGCCGGCGAAGAGGCCCGGGAGGGCGCCGAGGCCCAGCGAGATGGCCCCCTCGTCCCGCAGCGGCAGCACCACGAAGTAGGCGCTCAGGATCTGCGTCACCCATAGAGTGAGGATTTTCCGTTCTCCGCTGGTGGCTGAATTTGGAAGGTACAGATTCGACGAGAGAGATGGCTTACGAAGAAGAAGGTGGAGGCGGCGCTGGTCAGCGGGGCCATCTCGTGGGGGCGGACGTCCACCAGGGACGCCACCGCCGCCTCGGCGCGCGCGCGGAGCCGGTGGGTCGGTCCTGTCTCCGCCATTCTCCCCTCCGGCCGGTGACCGGGCGGGCTGGAGTTGACTCGCCTCTGCCTCCCTTCCCTCCTTGTCAGCCCCATCGCCTCTTCGCTCGCGTTGTAATGTTGCTCCTGCTCGAGATATTATAATACGGAGTATTTGATAATCTCTATGTTCACTTTTATAAGATGTTTTAGATAGTTCGAACAGCTCACAAACAGTTCAAAATCAGTTGTCTAAAACGTTTTATAAAAAGTAATAGAGAGAGAATATTATAGTATTTGATCGGCACTCCTAATGCATTGTCTCTTAACATGTCATTCTTGTTGAATTAGCAAAACAATTGGTTCGAAATCCTTTCATTTAATTAGCCAGCTCTGCAGTTTTCTATGCTCTCATTTCTAAGGCCTGATTTACGCAAAAAAAAAGAGAAAGGCAAGGCTCGCAAAAAACAAAGTCTTAACACGTCATCATAGATATATACAAATAAATAAAAGACAGTCACCTCAATGCATTGTATTTAGGGGTTGTATCTAAGTGATATTGTATTTAATCAGTTTATTAAGGATTTTTTTGGAATCTTAACACTGTTTCCTAGTTGCAGAGAGAAGAAAAGAAGTGAAAAATAAGAAGGTAAGGCACAAAAGATCAAAACATTAATTGCACTACACATAAAAATGAGCTAAGAGTCGATCTTAGGTAAGATACAACTCCACTCCCTCTTTTTAATTGCAGTGCTACATCAGCATTTTGCCTATAATAACATGCTAAGAGACCAGCATTTGGTAGTATCATAAGTTAGTGTCATAGTATCATAGATTTAGTATCTTAGATGATCTTATTTACTGTCATGCAAAACATATATAGTATAATACTCCCTCCGTTCCTAAATATTTGTCTTTCTAAAGATTTCAAATGGATACCACATACGGATGTATATAGATATATTTTAGAGCGTAGATTCACTCATTTTTCTTTGTATGTAGTCACTTGTTAAAATATCTAGAAAGACAAATATTTAGGAACGGAAGGAGTATTTGTTATGGTACGGTATCATGATATGCCTCTCTTTTGTATTCTATGCCACATCATTAAAATTGCCTAGTTGACATGCACAATAGTATTAGGTATGATAGTCCAACTATGGACAACCTTATTCCAAGACGTCGGTGGTGGTATAGGGTAAGCATGATTTGATCCGAAGTCACTCTACCCCTCTCTTCACTCACATTGCACGGTTGCTTGTGCTTGCGGTCGAGAACTCGAGATATTATTGGGTTTTATTTGGTTGCACTTTACCTACTCCCTCCATGTCTATATATAAGGCTATTTCATATTTTTATGTCTAACTTCGATTAACAATGAATTATATGCAACAAAAAGTATGTCATTGAATGTATATTTCAAAGAACTTTTTGCTGATATATTTTTGATGACATATAATCCATATTTTGTTGAACAAAGTGGCCTTGTTTAGAAAAATGGAGGGAGTACAACATTTTATTCTATTTCTCTTATGTGCTTGAAATGTTATATTCTTTTCGTGGAGTCCTTCACTTAAGAAAAAGCTCAATGACCTAAAAGAATGTATCATCTCATGATATTTTTGTTGCATAAAGACAATTCAGAAAATCATGTCCCCGCATGCATTTATTAACATGTTTTTTATGTATAGAATACCAATGTTTGCAATAGTGTTTTTTTATTTTCTATGGTAGTTGGCCAAAGTTTTTCTAGCCAACTGGCCAATCCATTGGCAAGCAAAACCTCAACCAAAAATTTGGCACCAACTCTTTGGTAGGGGCAATCCACTTGTTAGCATGTTCAACGGCAAAGGGGACAGAAAATCTAGCTCTTCACCGACCGAAATCTCATAGTCAAAACAAGGCATATGACGAGACTAGAGCCCCATTATTAGCAGACAGACTGAAACTCGATTTAGTATCTACACTTGTTCAAATGTCATTACAAATTAAACACTGACGAAGTAATAAGTACAACACGGCTTCAAGTTGACATAATAAACTGTTTGTCATGCCGCTCCCTTTATAATACAAAGCATCCACAGAATGCAGGAGCAGCAGTACAAGGCAAAAGCCAGACGAATTTTTGGACACCTATGTACAACAAGGAAGAACTAGTGCATAATGTTTCGTCTGGGTTTACGCAGCCTGGTGTGGTCTTTCTACCTTCATGCATCACGCAACAAACCCTCCTCGGAGAATGGCCCGACCATTGTCTTTTTGCCAGCATCGCACGCTTGGACAATGGTACATATATCGTTCTTCTCGAGGAACTTCTCTCCGTTCACCAGGATGAGAGGGATGTATTGCAGGACCAGTCGTTTGCACTGTCGAACAAGAAAATTATCAGCCTGTGCATCCTTTGCGTGCTATATATTGAATTGAACATTAACCGAAGAAGCTGAGATGTCTCCTTTGCGCATTATTTTGTTTTTAAAAGATGAGCCGGATATAGCTTACCTGCTGTTCATGACCTTCGATCTTCTTGCACTCCTTGAGGAGAATTTGAATTATCTCAAACTACAGATATCATATGGAAATTATTAAAGGCAGACACAAGGTAAAGGTGAAGACACCAACGATGCAAGTGAGATAAAGGAAATACCTCAGCATCAGGATCCTTCAGTTTGGACAAAACTTCATCCATGAGGTGGTGGCAAAACACGCATGTGCTCTCACTTCTCACACCAGACAGAAGAGCATTGTCCCTGCAGAGGCCATTTCGTTTGCAGAACTCTTCTGGCTTGATCTCAGCGATCTTGGCAAATAAGAGAGTTGCATAGGAGTCCACAAACTCAACACACTGCAGAGACAGAATGTTGCTTAGAAAAATCTATAAACTATTTCTGTTTAGGGTATCTTTTTATCAAGAAAATATAATCACTATGCATATAGTATCTTTTCATCAATCTTTCTACAGTAACTAAAACTCTATGTAATGAATTACAGGCCAAAGTGTTCAAAATTACTACCTTCTTTTCCAACGAGAATGTCTGAGAACAAGCTTCATGAAGGACCTCCATCATCTTATCTTGTGATTGTTTCTGACTAAGATAGCTAAGAGCTTCCTCTGTAAACTTCTCACAAGCTGGGCATAGTGGGCTGCCCCTCTCAACACGCACGGGAATTTTGCTCAAAGTTAGTTGATCCTTGATGATTTGACCAGAGCCTCGAGCCTCCTCCTGGATATCAAGAAAAACTGGGAACAAACAAATCAGATGTTACTGGCCAGAACAATTGCGAACACAAGGAGGAATATCTCTATAAACCTGAACCTTCTAACACTGAAGATGATATGCACTATCATGTATTCATGTGTGTATCTTGTTCATGCACATTCCCCATCTAAGCCTTGAACTACAGAAAGCGAACTAACAGCATAATAAGGAATTAGAAAACCAAGCATCAACATATACTAGAAGTTGACGATGTTAACAATGACATAGGCTGTCCAAATTCTATCCTTATACAGCCATGCATGATTTACAAGCACATGATATCATGGAAGCAATTGGACGATATGACAACTTCAATTTCGACACCAATACTACGAATTCGCATAAGAAGATTTCATAACAGGTGTATCCTTAATTCCAGTTCTAATTCCAATCCCAAGCCACTGATGTCGATTTAGAGATGAATAAACAACATAACTAGCATCATGGGATTGGAAAGGGGCTGTTGTGTGAGATATACCTGTGCTCCGGCCTTGTGCGGCTCCCAGGCTGACCAGCAGCAAGAGGAGTAGGAAGAACGGCAATCTCAGTCCCAAGCCCATCGCGCGATAGGTTCTGTCGTTGACCTGCAAAAAATAGGAATCAACACATACGGAATTAGCAAACCCATCAATCAATTTTGATCAGGAAACCGCAGGAAAACGGAAGGGGTGAATTGGTCTCATGAACAGCAGCTGAGCCTGTAACATCTCCGTTCCAATTTCAGAAAATTTCACATAACAACAAAGCCAACGCCGCAAAGGAGCCATGAAACCGACCGGTAAAGCCGATCGAATCGACCGGGCCAGGTCAACAGAATCATCAACAGTATGAGGAAGCGGATCGATCGGGGAAGGCGCGATGACACCGAACGAATCGGAAAGCTCGAGCAAGGGGGGTGAGGGAACGCCGGGATCCGAAATCCGAGGCTCACGGGGAGAAACGAAACTGGAAGCGAGCTGAGAATCAAACCTACCCTGCTGCGGTTGGGGAATCGAGTCGAGCAGGCAGCCGCCGGGAGGAGCAGGTGGTGGCGCGTCGGGGTCGTCCTGACCTTTTTTCTGTTTTTGTGTATCGTGTATGTATAGCGTGCTCAAGATTATAGAAGTCTGATGACGGGGCTAAATAGGGCGTGGGTGGGGGTGGGTGATTGATCTCGCTTCGCCTTCGGAGTTGGGTTAGCGTGGAGGTTTTGGATCCGTGGAGGGAAGAAGTTGAGACGGTTAAGCAAGAGTAACTGCTTGTTATTATTATTACAAGTACTAATACTAGTAGGAGTACTATGCATGCATATTCCCTAATGTTTTTAAGGGATATTCCCTAATGCTATTTGGCGACCATTCACAGGAGGAAATCCAAAGCGAACCCCCTCGTAGCCACAGAATCAAGCTGTGACGGTGGCAGTTTTTCGGGGGAAAAAATGCACTAAACTAAACAAAATGCCATGTTTTTTAATAAAAAATGGCATCCCAAACACTAAAACTACCGGACACGGCGTTTGCAAATGCCATCATGGCCAGTGAACCGTCGCTGTCTATTGCAATCCTATATACACTAGTAAGCATGCACGTGCAACGCACGTATCCTAATCTATAAAAATATTTAATTTGAGTCTTATTTCTCCTTTAGAGAGTCTTTTTACCAAGCCATTTAAAAAATATCGCTTACTCCAGTAAAGGGACATCATCAAGCATGCTGATGCACAAGCAAAGTTCATCTATCAAGTCGCGGTTTGTTGAATTGACAGACGGTCAAAGGAGAAATGCATGCGTGATGAGCTAAACTTTAGATGATATATGTGATGTTTTGAGGTTTTTAGGGGGGATCTATCCAGAATCATACAATCGTGACGTCTGTGTAATTTTCGCCATTTTCCAAAGTCTCGATGTCTTATATTATCACCATTCAATTCTGAGTCCACTAAAATAATACTCCATCTGTCCAAAAATATGTGACTCAAGTTTGTACTAACATTGTACTAAAATTAGTACAAAGTTGAGTCACTAATTTTGGGACGGAGGGAGTAGTTTTTTCTAAAATATGTCATATGAGCCTATTAACCGATAATTATAGTTATTTTTGAAATAATAGTACAACACAGAATAACCATAATGATACAGAACGAAAAATACCTAATTGAGTGTCAGACAAAATACTACTCCATAAAATATAATATCCACAACCACAAGATGACTTGCATGATTACAGAATTTAAATATATTCAATAAGAACAATCATTTTTTACAAATATCATGACTGAATATTTTGTTAAACCCTTATTTCGTGAAAAAGATCACAACGAGACAGCCATATGGACACACCTGATAAGAAAAAAGAATTGGACAACATCCGACCCTAATATAAACCAAATGACCAAAAAGCTATCCATAAGTAAAAAATTGAATTGGACAAAGCATATATTTTTTCGAGAGGAACCCCTATACTTTTTCTTGACAAAGGAACCCCCATACTTAATACTTTTTTTTGCGATAACCTATAGTACTCCCTCTGTTCAAAAATATTTGTTCTAAAAATTGATAAAATGGATGTATCTATAACTAAAATAGGTCTAGATACAACCATTTCAAGAACAAGTTTTTTCGGACGGAGGGAGTACTAAATACTAAATACTTGACCAAAATGAATGGGCCATCGATCAAGAAAAAAAAGGAAGACACGCCAGACGCTCCCTACCTGTTCTCCTCATACCTTCACTCTCTCCCCACCGCTCCCCATTCCATGGTGGCCCTGCCTGCTCTCCCCACTGCCTCATCTACCCACCACGGCCTCGCCCCGTCGGCCGCCGCCTCCTCTCCCCACCATGGCCTCGGCCCGCCGCCTTCTCTCTCCACCACGACCTCACCTTGCCGCTAACCCCGCCGTTCTTCCCTAGATCGACTCTGTCGCCGCCGTCCACATGTTCCAGCACAGATCAAGATGCGAGCTAGAGGAGCATCCTGGAAACGATGCGGCAGCGGGAATCTCGGAGCGGGCCGAGTTCCAGTTCGTCTACGTGCCCACCGTGATAGTCGACCTCGTGCTTCGCTCCCACACCTGCTCCGAGAAGGCGCTCCCAGCTTGCCTACGTGGTCGGTTGCTCCAGGTACTTGTGGATTCAGGCATTCGCAACTGTGAACTCGAGTTTAACAAACGGTATATCACTGCTGGATGGTGAACACACACAGTGGTGCTTTTATTGATAGAAAGTCAGGATCCTTTCTCTTAAGAGGCTACTGTAAGAAATGGTAACTTGGGGCATGACTTGCAAGAAAGGGATTGTATGACAGAATGATATTACTTCATGGTAGAGTTTCTGCATCTGGAGATCAAGTTTTATCTTGGTGTCTCATGTCAGTTTTATTGTGTGTGTGTGTGTTTCAGTAACACATTTACTGTTCTGATGATCTTGCAAATTTGTGAGCCGAAGAAATGATGACTTAGATACTTGCGTTCTGATAAGTATGCTGAGCAGAAATAACAGGCGGTCATCTGTTATATGATATATTAAATTAAATGATGATTTTTTATTAGGTGCAGTTTAGAATTTTGAGTGTACAATGCATCCTGTAATGAGAGACCACACACTTAAAAGTTTCTTTAGATTGAAAATGGCTGTATCTGCTTGCTAAATCCTAATTGCTATCCATTCCAGTACAATACTTATGTAGCTCAGTAGTCTAGGTTCGAGCATGAGAGTCGTTTTCGAATTGGAGAGAAAAAATATAATTTGGGGTGATCCTGTTTTCCTACTGTCTAATCTTGGAGTAAGCTTATCCTGAATATATGTGAACTCTTTTGGCACTTTGTGGTTCTCTTTAGTCTCTCCGGTTAATATAACCAGTTCATTATTATTTGTATGTTATTTGTCTTTCACATGAAGATTCATTCTTTCTGGTTGTTTAGAAAGGACAAATAGATGTCGATCAGTTTGAGCGTGCGGGATAGCTTATGTGTGTCTGTTGTTTGGAGTGGGCAATTCCTGTGTTTTTCTTCTCACACTTCAGTTCTAGTCATACATGCAAGAAAGGAAACTGGGTTATGTATGTTCATGCCAAATAAACATCAGGAGGTAATGATGACCTGTTGCTAACTTCTGCCAAGCCATTCTTAAGAATGTTGTTTGTTTGCAGGATGTAGCTTGGGAAGGTCAGACTGTTGGAGTTGTAGCAGTTGTAGATTTCTTCAAGGCAAAAATAAAGCATTTGCACTTGGTGATATGAAAAAGGTTAGCTTTCAGGTTTTGTTTCAGCATGCTGTCACTCCTTAGCACTAATTATTACATACTAATTACTACCTGCACGTGCTTCTCGCTCCGGTCAAGAGGTATTATCAGTTGGGTGTGTGCGTACTCAAACTTTTAAACTTATATATCTGTATCTACATGACTATTGGGAATTTGAGAATTGAGACTAAACTTATGTAAATGATATTAGTATGTAGAAGAGTGAAAAAACAATTTATAACATTTTAGCATTAGAATTTGTGGTCAAGGTTCACGTCTCAATCATACCACATCAAATTCATGCGTGTATAAAGGGCCAGTTTGGTTGGTGTCCACAACTTCATGCCTGGGACAAATGGGTGCCTGGAATGTAGCTTCTTCCCAGTTTCAAGTAAAAAGTATTCCCTACAAATGGGTGCCTGGGACAAATTACCTTTGGTAGCTTTCCACGAAGGCGAGTTTCACAGCCTTTGACATATTTAAATGCAGTAATGTTCTGCATTTAAAACAGCATAAAGAGATCTTGTGGAACATACATATGTTTACTCGTTTTTCTGCACTGAGAAATTGTACCATTGTATATTACAAAATGAGGCATACACAATGGAAGTAATTGCTACTCAGCGGCACCCCAATTCGCCCCTGAAACTAAATTTGTCTTCCAAAAGTGTGCTGTGTGGTACAATAAAATATCATGTGCATGTATCCATAAAATATACATGTAACCGTATCATGGTAGGCTAAACCTGCAAATGAAAAACAAATAATGTTAGTTCCAAAAATAGTTATAGATGCAACAACATAGTAGCTGCAAAGAAGTAATGGAATGACACACCCGCCTCATCTCTCTAAAACATCTTTGTAGACAATGTTCTTGGTGCTTTTCCCGGATTTATCAACCTCCTTGTTTGGCTTGGCCAAAATCCATGTCGTCTCTCTTGACACTCCCCTTGACAATGCAACATATAGCTGACCATGTGAGAATACAGGCTCAGGAAGGTAAATACCAACGTTTGGGATGGTCTGACCCTGTGCCTTATTAATTGTCATCGCAAAACTTAGGCGGATGGGGAACTGTTTTCTCTTAAGTTTGAAGGGAAGTGAGATGTCCTCCAAGGGCGACATAGGGATCCTAAGTATAAACACCCTCTTTCCAGCATGCTGACCTCCAACAATCTCCGCGTCGATTGCATTATCCTGGAAGGCTCTGATTATAAGTCGTGTTCCATTGCATAGGCCATTATGAGGGTCGAGGTTCCGAAGCAGAATGACTGGGCAGTTGACCTTTAATCTCAAAACATGCGGTGGCAAGCCATTTGGTGTGATCGAGTTCAAAAAATC